GAGTTGATCTACTTCCTGTTGGACAGGAAGGGGACAAACACCGGCGGTTAGCTTGCGCTAGCGTGCGTTAGCTTGCAGTGTAGGTACAAGCAGTAAACGTACACACTACGTCCTGCAGGGGGCGGGGCTTCAGGGGGAGATGAGACCAGGAGGAGGGGCCAGTTTGAATGTTTACAAACATTTCTACAGACTCCTCCTTTAACAGAGATGCAGAAAGTGAAACAACCTAACAAGCTGTTTTTCTCTGATAAGGACAAAATATGATCCAAACTGTCGTGATCAGGAGGTCGAAGAGAAATGCACGAGGGATGAAACAAAGCTCCAGAGCTCTGCCTCCACAGAGACGCTTCTCTGCTTTATCTCATAAAGACGTCCGTCCTCATTTTATTATCTTACAGAAGAAAGAACATTTTGTTCGAGCTCATCTTCCACCATAAACATCCAGCAGAGAGAACATCTGCTCACAGTTATTATTTTATGTCATTTCCTTTCTGTGAGCCCGGAGGAGCTCGCTCAGCATTGTGACACACTTTCAATCAGTGTGAGATCAAAAACCAGCACGCCACAGACAGAATCAAAACGCAATGCGGACATCGCTCGCCGAGCCAGACCGCCACCGCCTGAGTCTCTTCTTCATGTGAGGGGACATGTGGACTCACAGTGATGCTCCACTGCAGCAGAGGACAGCACGAGAGTTCCCAGAATGCATTTGGTGACACTTTGAGGGTTTGCAGACGGATGATCTGGACGATGGTGATGCAGCAGCTGAGCGGTCCAAAAGAGAGACTCTGCCCATTAAGTAAGTGATGGTAAGGATGGTTTCACATTAACGACCCGATCTGAGTTTTGCTCGATCCCAAAGTCGGGTTCATTTGTTCAGCGGGAACACAAACGTACCGTGTCTCTGCAGGAGACTTAAACGCAACTGAAACCGCCCTCAAACAAGGAAGCAGGAAGAGGGTCGCTGTTGGCGTCTCAGAAATAACAAAATAATAAGCAAAAGTTAGCAGGATGGACTCAGCCCGCGAGTGGTTGCCATGGTTACTTCTTCTTCGTTCTGCTTTATGGTGGATTTGAGAAACCAACTGTGTGCATACTGCCCCCTGCTGTATCGGAGTGTATACATACGGACGTGTACTCGAGTACAGAGCGATGTGACTAAAGTGAACGCTGGGGTGGGGGGGGGGGGGGGTCGTGCCTCATGTGAAAACGGCCTCTCTCTGGGGATACTTTCTGTTGGTTTACCTCGGTGTACGCCTGCGTGACCTGCTCGTACAGACTCTGGTGGCGGTGGATGGCGATCTCCAGCTCCTGCATCTCGGTCGGTAACCCCCCCTCGCTGCAGACTTTACACCACGCCTCCACCTCGGACAGAAACTGAGGAAGCACACACACACACACACACACACACACACACATGAAGAGAGTGAAACAACTGTTGCAGCATCAGAAGAGGTTTTTGAACTGATTGAGTCATTTTGCTTTCCTCTTTGTGTTTGTTTTACTTTGAAAAACCTTTTTAGTAATTATGCATCGCTGTGATTTTGCACCTGGAAAACGACTTAACAAATCAGATGTGATCGAAGACGACAGCCTCTCTTCTCCCCCTCACAGCACTTTATGGTTTATTTTTATCCTCCTCTGAAGTCTTGCCAGTTTTCTCATTTTTTCCTCCTCCTTTCTTGTGTTTCATCTTTTATCCTGACACATTTTTTTGTTTCTGCTTTTCATAACACTCTCCGCTCGCGCCCCCCCCCCCCCCCCCCCATCCCGTCTTTTCATCTGCTGATCTGCTCAAACGTACACTTGTAGCTAATGTCAAGGGCCCAGCAGGAATCAAACATGTCCCCGTCTGTTGCCATGTCAACCTTCCAAGAATCAGCAGCGGAGCAGTTTGATCTATTAAATATAATCAGACTCTAAAAATGTCCCGTTTTCATTTGACATTCTGGGCATGTGTCTGCTGCTGAGAGGATTACATCGTTCAGCAACCAAGCAACCCAAATGTCACGCTAAGTGGAACATGTTCTCCTCTAATGGCAGAAAGATAAAGATGGCGTCCGCTCCTCATCTTACCTGTTCAGACTTCTGGTGAAAGACAGACGACATGGCGAGGATGGTGGAGCGCTCGTCGAGGGCGGCAGCAAAACTTTTCCAGTCCTGATCCAGCTGACTCGAGATCTGTTTTATCTGCGTCGAGGCGTAGTGACCCGACTCCGCCAGCCGGCTCGCCACCGACATGATTCTGTTGATGTTTACGTAAGCGTTCTGGGAAGAAAAACAAAACAAACATCAACAAACTTTAAACGGTGCTACATTCTGCAGAAAATACAATAAAGAAATGTTCATCTCGAGCAGCATCCTCAGGGTGTTGAAAAATGAAGCCGACGCTGAAGTGAAAATCATGCAGTTCCTCAAGTGTCCACTAGAGGCTGGCTGCAGAAGCACAGGTTTGGAGTCCCATCGATGGCGGTCTCCATGCTGGAAATGCTGTCTCAGTGTAACTTTCAGTCAACCTAACGACAGGCTGAGAGCTGGAGCTGAGGCGGGTTTTAAACCTCCTGACAAACCGTTACACCGCGCCCACCTGTCAATCAGGTCAGCTACACGCCTTATTGTGAATAACTCTTATCCTTCATCAAATCAAAACTGATGAGTCATCAAAACATTCACCCCCTGTACAGTGTGTGTCCATCCAGACATGAGCTAATCACACCTATTTGGTTTCTTGAACCAGGCTGTAAACATGTTCATCTCTGCTGTAAAAACAGGCTTTTTAGAATGGGTGTGTATGTGACTTCCTGTGCTTCTGCAGCGAGCCTCTAGTGGACACTCCAGGAACTGCAGGATTTTACACTTCAACATCTTCTTCATTAGGTTGCTGCTTGGTAATAATGTGTGATAATCTTGGAGTGTTTCAGAGTAAAAGTTAAAACATTAGTTTATTTTAAAACACTAAAGTAAATCTCTCTTAAACTACATAGCTCGACTCTGATTGGTGGACTATGTCAGTAATATAAAGGTGTGAGTTTCGTTTGTGTTGACTCTATCTACCATGGAGTTCATGGCGAAGTGGTTGTGTTGCGTCTGCAGCTCCACAGCGTGTTGGTATCCTCTGCCGATCTCCGTGTGACTCTGCAGGAACACGTCTTTGTTGTGGATGATCCAGTCGAACATCTGCAACCACAAAACAACATTTACAACGTCACAGGCTGCTTTTCTGCATCTCTGTCGGCTCGGTTATAAGTTACACAGGTGGGGCGATGGTGGCTCAGTGGTTAGTTTGTGCGCCCTATGTATGGAGGCTGTGCATCCTAGGTTCAAATCCCACCTGTGGCTCCTCCCCTGCATGTCATTCCCCTCTCTCTCTCTCTCTGTCCTGTCTCTACATTAATCGCACAAACATAAATCTTTAAAAAGAAAAGTCACACTGGGAAAAAAGTTGAATATTTAAAACTAGGAGCGGTATGTTACAATACGATACGATATTGTACAATATATATATTGATATTGTTCTATATGATACGATACAACTCCAAATGAAGTGATTCCGTAGGCCTTCACTGTGAAACGAGATAATACAAAACAATCAGCTCCAAGATTAAAACTGCCAAGCGGCAGATGCTGGCCGATTTACCGTTTGGATCGTGTCCAGAAACTCTAACAATAAAAACCTTTAAGTTAAACAAACTTCTGACTGCTAATCTCCACGTGTGCGTCAGCTGCCCTATGGCGCCGTTTAAGGCGGTAACACGGCGCTGAGGGACGCAGTGTGCATGGCCACATTTAGCAAAAACATTATATGATAGAAATGTTTGTACATTTTTGTGAACAGTCATGATGAGTTTCAATCACGCTGCAGCTTCCTCCTCCAGCAGAAGGATCTTTGATTTTCTGTCCTTATGTTTTATAAAATCATCTCTCTAGAAATGTTGTATCAATCATCAGACAAGAGGATGAAGGCAGAAACGCGAGGATACGTCAACAACAGCAGGCAGGAAGTTAAAAAAATCGTATTTATGAGTACATTCAGATTGGAGTAGTGTTTTTTTTTATGATGATGTGCTTTCTGGTGTTGCTCCTCTGGATCAAAGCTCTTCCAGCTGCGATCAACATTTCTATTTTTTTTTTTTCTATTCTTTATTTAGAGGACGGTTGAGAACAGTTTTACAGACAGTTAGCCATGTGGTTACAGAAGGTATAAAGGGTCCACAGTGAAAGTCTGCAGCAAACATCTAGATCATCTTGAAACCCTTTTCCTCCTTAACATCCTCCATTTCTTCTGTTTTTAACAATATGAACCTTATTACTCTATAACTATATACAGTGTGTAAAGAGGGATGTGTAGTTACAGTTCGTTTCTTTAATATGTAGGGCGACAGTTCAACATTTCTATTTTTAACAGAAACCTGTTTGCGCTGTGAAATAAACCGTCAGCACGTAGAAACAAAAAGCATCATGTTTAAAACTGATCTTTGTCAATAAGACGCTCCTCGCCTGTAATCATCTTAGATCAGCTGCTGTGACTGATCTTCTGTGTGAAACAAAGTTAGCGAGCAAACGTAACCATGACAGAGAGAAACTGTGACCACACACACATCAACAGGACGCAGCCGGGGAAATGAAACCAAAGGAATACTCCTTTAAAAAAAACATGATTGTCATTCCCTCTGGTTGGCTTCATCTCTACCCCGACGATCAGCAGCGAGCCAAAGAGGACAACCTTCAAGGTTGTTACTCCATCTGAATCCATCTTCACCGACAGATGGAGGCCAGTTGTTTCCATGGTTACCACATTATCTACACTGTAGTTTCTGTAGCCGTGTGAGTGTTTGTCACAGTGTAAACTCTCCTCACACCCACACAGCAACAAAACACTGATGTGAACAAAAAGAAAATCTTTTTTTTTCTCTCCCTCTGTTTGATTCAGCAGTAAATATTTACCGCTCCCGCATGTGGACGTCTGTGTTGAGTAACACACGAAGTGAGGTGACGCCCGTCTGTCTGAGCGTGTGTGAGAGATCAAGCTGGACTACCAACATGATGCAACACCAACGATGCACATGTCATTTTTAAAGGTTGACATTCTCTTTTACAACATCTGCCAAAGGTACCTGAAACTTTCAGTACCTGCACGGGTTGCACACGCTCTGCTTAAAGGTGACATATCCTTATCTATTAGTGATGGCACTGGAGTCTGACAGGTTTGCAAAGGTTACTCAATGCATCTATCGTTTCAACTTAAAGGGACACTTCACCCGTTGAAACATGAGTCTGTATTGACATTGGGTCATATATGTAGAAATGTGAAATACATTTTGAAGTTGGTGCCTTCTTGACCGAGAAAAGGCAGAATGCACAGCACCACAGGCCACTCCCACTAAGGTCCTCTATTTAAGATTAAGATTTACTTTTATTGATCCCCACAAGGGGCAATTTCAGTTTTTACACTCTGTAGTCATGAACACACACATAGGCTGAAGTATATATACACACATGCACACAAACAGGATCCTCTGGACATGCACTAAGGGAGAGATGTCAGAGTGACGGAGCGGCCCACAACGGGCGCTCCTGAGCTGATGGTGGGGAGGGGGTTTAGTGCCTTGCTCAAGGACACCTCGGCAGTGCTCAGGAGGTGATCTGGCACCTCTCCAGCTACCAGACCAACTTCAATACTTGGTCCGCACCGGGACTTGAACTGGCGACCCTCCAGTTCCCAACACAAGTCCCTACAGACTGAGCTACTGCTGCCCCTACAGACATATTTACTTCAACACATGAGGCCGTTTCCTCAACTGAGTCAGAGATTTCTTCCAGAATTGATCTTGTAAATTCCTGTCAGAAAACAGACTCTATGTCTGTGTCCATAGACAAACAGTGAGAGCACCACACTACCAGTCTGCCCCAGCTCGAGCCGGCCCCGGCTCCTCGTCCTCAGAGGCAGCCTAAACACAAGACCGGCCTGTCGGCAGCAGCCGTCTCGCCGCTATATTTATATTTTTTTGCCATTATCAGCTTTCTCTGATGATTCAAAAATACTACCAGGTTTCTAATGATACAAAGATTAATGTTAATGGGTGAAGTATCCCTTTAACCTTTGACCTCCACTTCAACATGAAGACATCTCCTTCACATGAGGACTCACTCAGTCTGTAGGTTTCTGGTGAAATAGTCGCCCATTACTTTTCTCAGGGCGTCTTAAATGTTCTTCTTGTTATGTAAAAGCTCTTCCCCTCCGCTGAGGCGCTCGGTGTTCAGAAGTAATCAGAAATGTTCGGTGCTGAGCGCTCCAGACCTTGAAGTTCTCACACTTTAAAGACCCGGGTCTCTGAAATGAAATGAGTTCCTCTGAAGACTCCAGGTCGGTGAGAAAAGCTCCTATGCTGGAAATACAGTTACAAGCTACTTAATGCAATATACTGATGTTGCCTTTGTGTGCATGGTCCCACTACTCCTTCAATAACAGTTATAAGAATATCATCAAAGGATTAAAGGGCGCTGATGGCCAAGCGGACGGTTAGGTCAAGTCCCATGTGGCAGTGACATCATCTCTGACTGCAGTGAGCCAACGGCCTGAGGACACTGAACTCCTAAAGGAATAATGTTAAGAAGATGCAAAGACTGTGAATCCTTCTGAAGGTACTCCAGAAGTTGATGTAGAGCAATCCTGAACTTTTATGTCTGCTAACCGAGGGAGAAAGAAAAGGGAAAGCAGCAGTGGCCAAAGTCCTCACCTGTTGAACCTGTGAGAGACACGATGGAGCTCAACCCGTCTGAGTGCTGAATTAATCCGCTCAGAAGTAAAGGAAGAAATAAATGAGGCAACTGATAAATTACAGCTCAACTGAAGCCTGTGGCTCCTTCCCTGCATGTCATCCCCCCCCCCCTCTCTCTCTCTGATTTATGCTGCTTCACAACGTCTTCACTGCTCACATCAAATTTAAAGGTCACATATCCTCCTCCTCTTCAGTGTAAATAAGTCTCAGAGCTCCTCAAAACATGTGTGTGAAGTTTCTTGTTCTAAATCCACTCTGATCCTGTACTTGATCATGTCTATAAACCCCTCTATTTCAGCCCTGCTCAGAACAGGCTGTTTCTGTGTCTGTACCTTTAAATATGTAAATGAGCTGTGTCTGACCACGCCCCTTCTCTGGAAGGGCTTGGGTGTCTCAGTCTTTCTCGCTCCATGTCCTATTGTTTACGGTGAGAAGGCAGACTCAGAGGGCAGAACAAACACCTAGCTGTGGGAGTGTCACCCACCTGGGGAAGGGGCTACTGCCCTTTGTGATGTCATGAAGGGAAAATCTCCAAACGGCCTGTTTGAGCACACATTTTCTGAAAAGTGGAGCAGGCAGAAGACGGAGAGGATGGACTTTCTCATCATTGGGGGGTTTGTAGACAGACTAGAGACATGTTAGAGTTAGAGGAACATGGAGAAGTGGATTTTAGAGAATATGTGACCTTTAATTCTGTTGATATCTGGAGTTAAGCACGATGGTTTTCTGGGGATAATAAATGAAGCGTTTTATCAGTGAACATGATCTCTCCATTTATAGCTCTGTGGAATGAAAACGTACTTCTGTGCGTCGCTGTAAACAGGCTGGTATGATAATGATGAATGGAATCCAAACATTCAGTCACGAGCGTGAATAATCACTTCACTGGTGGAGGGGAAGCTACGCTGGCTGATTTTCCACTGGGTCAGATGTGAACTGTGTTCTCCTGTTTAGATAAACAGGCATGTTCATTCAGACCGCCAACGAATTTCCAGAAGCTTTTCAAATGACTCAGAGTCGGCCGTAGAGTATAAAACAGTGTGCAGGAAGGTGGACTGTACAGGAGTTGATTTCCTGACAGGAGGTAAAGATAAACTGTCCAAGGTGAGAAGAGGAAACTGGACGTGTCTCCACCCTTCAAAGTCAAAATAACAATTATATTAGATTAAATCAAAGCTGAGGATGTTTTTCTTTCTCTGCAAATATTATGATCACAACCTTCTCAAGACCCTGGACCTATTATTAGAGAAGGAGTACATTTCAACACATTTTGTCTTTGTGCATCGCGTCCCTGAGGTGCCAAATTTAGACCCAAGGTCGTCTAAAAAAAACACCCTTTAAAAACCTGAAGTATTGTTTCAAAACAACTGAGGGGTTTGAGAAAACTGTACAGGATATTAACGTCTACTAAAATCTTGATTTCTCAGCCTCTGTAAAACATTTCAAAGTTTAAACCCTCGTCTTTTAAAGAGCTCATATTCTGCCCTTTTTGGGGTTCATATATTTAATCTATGTTCCTACTTTTGTACGTTCACAATCGCTAAAGTTTTAAAAAGTGTCTGTTTTCATGAACTGCTCCTCCTTGCTCCCTCTACGCTCTGAGTCCGTCAGCTACACTCTGTTGACCCTACACTGTTAGACCCCACGTGGGCCAAGACTGCTCTGATTGGTCTGCCGATCCGCTCTGTCGTTATTGGTCAGTTGCTCAGCACGCTTCTCGGAAATTTCAACATGAGCTGCTGGGCCACAACGAGCCAATGGGCTTAGATCAGTGATCTCACACTGACACATTTTTATCGAGGGGGGCTAGAGCCGAGCGTTACATGCAGCTAATGCTACAGCTAACAGGAGGACGAAGCTGCGTTTCCGTGGACTTTGAATTGTTGCACATAGATGTGACTAAACATGCACAGGACACTTAGAAAACACACTTAAAAGCATATAAAACCAGAAAAAGAAGAATATGGGACCTTTAACTTTAAATCATTGCCTTGGTCTTAAAGGTATATACACCCAATTGTTACATCATTGTAAAGGTATATACAGGTTAACGTTGCATCTGGTCTTAAAGGTATATACATGTAATTGTTGCATCCGATCTTAAAGGTATATACACGTAAACGTTGCATCCAATCTTAAAGGTATATACATGTAATTGTTACATCTGATCTTAAAGGTATATACATGCAAACACTGCATCTGGTCTTAAAGGTATATACACGCAAATGTTAAATCTGGTCTTAAAGGTATATACACTCACATTGCAAACAGTCAAAACGGGTTAGATAGATTATTCTTTAACAATTTTAAAAAGTTAAATCAATAATCTGTCAGTTTGGTCACTAACGTTTAGTCTTTCTTCTTGTATTAATAAGAATGCATTCCTTCAAACAAGTTGGAATGCATTCTTATTAATACAAGTTCCTTCAAACCTCAGGCAGCTGTCACAGTTAGAGGCATCAAGTTTCAGGTCTAACTCACCTTTTCTGCATCCTGCTCAAAGAGGCGGAGCTGGAAACACTGATCCAGCTTCAGCTTGGTGATGTGCCACATCTGGTGGAGATTCTGCCGTGTGGAATGGAGCTTATCCAGCAGACTGGCCACCTGGTTATAAACAGGAAGGAAGACGTTTGAGATGGTGTTTCTAAAGATGTGTAAATAATTAGGAAACTGCATTTAACTGGTTAAATCTGATAGATCCATCTCCTGTGTTTTGTATTTCTTTGTTTACATTTAATTTAATTGGACGATGTAAGTATATGTAAGTCTCTTTAAAGCGTCATGTTAAATATTTAAATGTATTATCCTGTTTGCAGTGGAGCGTGTATGTGCTTGATGCAATGAAACGCAGTGTTCTCTCACAGCCTTCCCTGTGGAGTCTTCCAGCTAACGAGCTAACCTGCAGCGAGTACTTCTCATTAGCTCTAATGAGGGACGCTAAAGGGCAGCGGGCCTCGGCTAGGTGAGAAGAAATGACATAGTGTGCTTAATCATGTGTAACAGTGCTTCAGGTGTTCACAGTTGTAATGATGAACCATGCAGACGTGTTTCTGAAGAGCATCGCTGCCTGAAATGTTGAAGATTCGTCTTAATAAATGGTCAAAATAACGGTTCTGCCCTTCATCATGTTGGATGTTTATATCGTGTTTGGCACAGACTGTCAGGTTTCCTCATGAGAGTAAATCTGATTCTTTACTTTTATGATTGCATGACTTAAAGGCAGGGTTGGTCATTTTCAAAAACTAGCATGATTTTGAAAGTAGCATTCCCTCAGTGCTCCGTCTGCACCCCCTCTCCTCTGTGCTCCCTCTTAAGCCACGCCCCCTCACTTATCATGAGAACAGTGGACCAATCAGAGAGCCAACAAAGGGTCAACTGGATGACTTACTTTGGGCACTAAGCTCTGGAAGTCGGCAGAGCCTGAGATGCAGTTCCTCCCTGAAAAGCCGTCACTAGATCGGATACACTGCAGCAGTCTCTGGCCTTCCCGGTCCAACTCCTCCACCGGAGCCTTCAGCACCTGCAAGATGAAGAAGAAGAATAAAGAGGAGAACATTTTAACTTAACTCTTGGCTTGATCAGATTCAAAGTTGTTTCTATACTTTTGAGTGGACTGCCTGTTTTTCTCCGCTCTCTTACCTTCTTCTTGAGTTGAGTGTGCTCCTCGATCAATCGACGGGATCCCTCCACATCTGCAGGAAAATCCTTCTTGGACTGAAGCTCCTGGAACACACAGCACATGTCTCTGAAATCATGAAATTCATGCACCTTTATATCTTTCCATTGATTGACCATCCGTCCATTTACCTGCAGGTCTTCCAGTCTGGACAGCAGGTGAACAGCGTTGGATATGAACTCCTCCAGAGAGACTCTGAGGTCCATCCACTCCTCATGGTTGTAGTCCAGAGAGCCTTCGAAGTCGTCCGTCAGCTGTGAGGGATCCACCAGTTTGGCCAGACCTTCGACTGACACCATGCTGGTCTAGAATGTGCAAAAAAAGTTCAACAAAAATATCAAATGTCTACTTTAAGCAGACAGATGGTTCTTCCAGATTTGTGAAATATGTTTCAATGACATCATGAAGGTCTGATGTACAGTAGTAAGAATAAATACCATCTGTGTAACAACATGATCAGAAACATGATAACACTTTCATGACATTTAGGGCTCTATGAAATCCATTTTAAGTTTTTCCAGATTCCGTTTTCCCCGTTTTAATTCTTATGAATTCTGTGTTTTACGATGTTTTCCATTGGATCAAATCACAGATTCAAGTCACTGGACATTTCATCAGATCAGAAAAATATATATCTGCTGGCCTTTATCACCTTTAGTAATGCCAAGGCCGCCCTGCTACCGTCTGGGCCGTCCTGCATACGAGTGGAGCTTGCATTTAGCGTGCTCTGTATCTTCAGTGTTTGGACATAACGCAGCGCTGTATGTGTGGAGAAGTTCACAGACTCACTGTCGTTAAGTTACTGATTGTAGATAAACGCAGACACAGAGAAAAGTCAAAAACCACCCTTTGACCGGATCCTGTGCGTTCCCAACCATAAAGACTCGGTCCTTACTGATCATGGACTGTGATCATGGAAGAGTAAACATGTGAGGGATGTCTGGTGTTCCTGTGTGTGAGTTTATTCTATTAAATTAAGAAAATAGTGGATTGCAGAACAGTTTGGGCTCAGAAATGAATTAATTAAAGAGGCTCTTTATCCCTTATGTTTGGCAGCCTGGCACTTTAGCAAATGAGCAAAGAGAGAACTCTTGACTCAACAAGGTCAACACTTCAAATGTGACTGCAGTGTGTTGTTGAAAGTTAAGAGCAGAGATCCAACTACTGTGTAAATCTATCTCTAACCATTCAGAGACGGTTTGATAGATAGATTTACCTTCTCAAAACATTACTTGTCTTTATAATGACAGGATCCCAGAATGTAACTGGGTCTCTGACTGAAGTTTAAGCTAACAAGGACAGGCCATCTAAAAACTAGCTGAGTTAACCTGTTAGCTAAGAAGAACAAGCTGCTTCAGCTTGTTAGCTTACCATGACTAACCTAAATTGAGAAGTTTTATCATGTTAGCTAACAAGAACAAGCAGCTTTTGCTTGTTAGTTAACCATGACTAACCTTGACTGAGCAGTTTTTTCATATAAGCTTATTCGAACAAGCGGCTTCAATGTTAGCTAACAAGAACAAGCAGCTTCAAATCCTTAGTGGACTAAAAGCTTAAACCAGTCTTTATCTTTTACCTGTAAACCAGCATGGACAGAACAGTTTAATGTTTATCTCAATAAATGTAGATTCATCTGTAGGCTGGCTACACAAGTCATTCTCAAGCCTCTTCTGCCCCCTTTGGCTGATGAAAGTATTTTCAAGCCCCCCCAGCGTACGTGACCATTTCCTGTGATGAAAAACTCAAACTCAGACAAAACAAGGACGCTCGCCTCAAAGGAGAACTTTGCACTGCCGAAGTTGGTTTTCTGTTTCTGCCAGAAGTTGTCAGGTTTGATGATGAGCGCCACGCAGATCTCAGCCGGGAAAAACTCCTGCAGCGTCTTCAGGAGCGGCTTGATGAGTTCCCACTTGGATCCACGCATGTCGATGATGACAGTGAAACCACGTTTACAGACATCCTCGCTGAGAAGAAGAGAGAGAGGAGATGAAAGAAGGTGATGTTTGGGTACACAGTAAAAAGAGAACGGATTGAAAACCCTGAAATGCGAGGTTAATTAAAGTTGCTGTTCGTTGTCAGACTGTTACATCAGCTAAGTATGAGAAGAATCCTGCAGTGAACTCATTTGGTTCACATCTGGAACACATTCAACGTTTGTGCGTCCTCACACGGCAAGAACAGCTTTCAAATCCATATTTTCATGTCTGGTTCCCCATCAAGACACAAATGCAATAATGTCTGTTTTCACTAGGGCTTGTTTTTAATCTACATTGTGTTTAAAGACAGAGTCAGCAGCTTTCTCCTTCAAAATAAAAATACAGACTTCTCCTTCAAAATAAAATACAGACTTCTCCTTCAAAATAAAACAGACTTCTCCTAAAGTGAAGCTGCTCCATTGTCCCTTCTGGGCCTCCGTACATGTGTGGTGGTGACTGTGTCTGCACAGACTCTGTCCTCTCACTGGATTTTACTGTTCTGCTTTGTGACGGTTGACTCGGGACGTTTGTGGGCGGAGCTGGTGTGTTTCCTCCAACCAATGACAGCGCAGCAGGTGAGTTTAGAAAAGGATGCAAATCAGTGATTGGACGCTACCACAGGCAGGTGACAAACACAAGCAGTTAGCTTGTGCTAGCGTGCAATAGCTGGCAGTGTAGGTACAAGCAGTAAACATACACACTACATCCTGCAGGGGGCGGAGCTTCAGGGGGAGATGAGCCCAGGAGGAGGAGCCCAGTTTGAATGTTTACAAACATTTCTACAGACTCCTCCTTTAAGCCCTGTATCTGTAAATATTCAAACAAGTAATAGATGATAGGTAAGAGAGTCTTATTAAGTAAAGTGTAAGATTAGAAAAGTTGAAAGAAAAGATCATCTTTAATATTTTTGAGCAGGTTTCTCCTTTTCTTGTGTGAAAAGAAGCTGCTCTGAAACCCGAGCGGAGCCAGCTGTTCATGCTCGAGTCTAATGAGCCTTAAAATCAGCCGCCGTCGCTGATTGGAAAGTAAAAATATACCGCAATTACCTCCACTCATCACACACCCTAAATTAATATAAATTCAACAGAAGCACATCCATTATAATCCGCCTCGGGGAATCACAAACTCCACTCGTCACCGTGCAAACAGACGCCTGATTAGCAGGAGGAATCAGAGCGCGGCTGATGGGGATCAAACGATCACAGAGACTTTTAGTTCAATCACTCTGAGTCTGCCAGGTGAATGTGTTAACATGCACCACGGTGTGTGTGTGTGTGTGTGTGTGTGTGTGTGTGTGTGCAGCTGCAGTCAAGGACACTGATCATGCAGTCATCTCATGTAGCTTCTTATTCAGGAGATTTATGGAGTTTTGTTTTGATCGTCTCCTCATGCTAAAGCTTATCAGGGCAGAGCTTTTAGCAGATGACTATAAATTCTGGATGTCAGCGTGTCCTTGACTGCTCGCACTGTGCAGCCAAATTTAAACCACTAAGTGTTCTCATTTGTTTAAAGTCTCTGTAAGTTTTTCTTTTTTTTAAAGCTAGACATGAAATGAAACCAGTGCCAGAAAAGAAAAGGAGTTTGGAGATCCATCTTGGAGATGTTGATGTGCTTTAAACAACGTCCTGATGTCACATTAAGGCTGTTTTCACTTCTGCACTCCTCAAAACATCTCCATCATTTCAGGAGGACTGCTCCTGAAATCCTCCTGATCTGTTCACACATGCATCTCAGGGTGGGAGACCATCCCTGTCAGACAGGAGGGGGGGCGTGGGGGCTCCTGAGGCGAGACATGACGTAAATAGAATGACCTGAATTCCTATGACTATTATTATTAAGATGTCATTCTTTCATTTGGATATTAAACTATAAATGTTGCAGGTCATTCTGCAGGCAGGCGTGTGCGGTTACAGTCCATGCTATACATCAGCAATCTTACCAAACCCCCCCCGATCAGGCTGCTCATATAAGTCTCTGTGCTGATCAACCCAAATCTACACTTTGTAACTTGTTTTTGAAAAGCGCTCTATAAGTAAAGATTATATTATATATTATTATATCCTGCTTAAAGCTTGATCAAAGGGACACTGGACTGGTTGAAGATCTTGAAGACGTTTCACCTCTCCTCGTCTTCTAGATCTTCAACCAGCTCCAGTGTCCTCTGCATCAAGCCTCGAGTAAACCCTGACCTGGATCAGAACCCACACAGATATCCGTATCCTGCGCTGAGAGCCGGCAGGAATAAATCGTCTGGAGCTGAAGTGTGACAGACTTCTGCTGTCTGCGACAAACACTGCAGCTTTCACGCTGATGCAAATCAAAACGCCGCTCCCGGTCTGCCGCTGGGACGGAGAAGAAAGGAGCGTTTGATTCTGCAGCAGTGACAGCGCTGAAACACTCTGCAGGCACTTCAGCCTCCACTCCTCCTGCTCAGTGTCTGTTTACTCCGAGTCTATGCACTGCATGGTTTAGTCCTGCAGAATGTCTCTTAAAGAGACGGTTCATTAAAGATGAAAGAGTTCATCCTGACATCACCCTGTAAACATGATTACTGAAATGATGTGTGTGTGTGTGTGTGTGTGTGTGTACCTGGGGACAGTGGACAGGTAGGTCACCAGCCTCCTCAGGTCCTCCTGTTTTATTCGGTCGTGGTTACTCCTGGCAGGAAATGTCAGGATTGGTCCTCCTCTTTTATCTCGCCCACCTGTGCATGCACACGTAACAAAAAGCTTGATGTTAGTTGATGTTGAAGTTTGAAACTTATATTATAACGGTGTGAGGACAACCAGGACAGGAGGAGACAGAGGAGAAGGTGTGTGGTCATCCACGACCAAACTATCAAACAGGTCTCCTCTTAGAAACATCTCTGTGTTTTTATTGACAAAGCACGGAGCTGGAACAAACATGGAGACGTTCTGTGCAGCAGATAACAACCACGTCGTCTGAGAGTTCATGCTGCTGATCGGAGCTCCTGCAGAAAACTCCTGAAAAACTCTGCATGGAGCGTCATGTGTGAACAGGCTGAATGTTTCTCTCTTTATCCAATAAAACTATAACATGGGGGCGCTGGTGGCTCAGTGGTTAGTGCGTGTACCCCATGTATGGAGGCTGTAGACCTCAAAGCGGGTAGCCCAGGTTCGAACCCAGCCTGTGGCTCCTTTCCTTTTCCTTTCCCCTCTCTCTCTCTCCCTGACTTTTGACTCTGTCCTATCTCTACAATTAAAGGCACAAAAAGTCCAAAAATAAATCTTAAAAAAAAAAAAAAACCAGAACATGATCTGATGGTCAACAGTCTTTGTCACTTCGTCGAGAACACAGATTCTCAACATAAACAGGTCAGTGTATACCCAGCTTTACGCCTGAGTATCTGAAACATAACGCCGTCTCTGCTCCAGCAGGAGGGGAGAAACGCTCCGACGGTCGTCACGGTTACAACCCCCCCCCACCCCCCCCTCCCCACGGCCTCTTTGTGATGAATTATGTGAGTCGAGATGTTTTGGTTAGATTAATGTGAGAAACACAAACCGCATAGTTTATGAAAGTGCTGCTCAGATGTGTGTGTGTGTGTGTGTGTGTGTGTGTGTGTGTGTGTGTGTGTGTTTGTTATATGTTAGGGAGTACGCTGCTGTAATCTAAGGAGGGATCTTGATGACAGATTGTTTTTGGCACTCTGTCCTTCTACGTGCTCTCTCCTCTCTCTCCCTCTCTCTCCCTCTCTCTTCCTCTCTCTCTCTCTCTCCCTCTCAGAAAATGTGTGCTCAAACAGGCCGTTTGGAGATTTTCCCTTCATGACATCATAAAGGGCAGTAGCCCCTCCCCCAGGTGGGTGACACTCCCACAGCTAGGTGTTTGTTCTGCCCTCTGAGTCTGCCTTCTCACCGTAAACAATAGGACATGGAGCGAGAAAGACTGAGACACCCAAGCCCTTCCAGAGAGGAGGCGTGGTCAGACACAGCTCATTTACATATTTAAAGGTACAGACACAGAAACAGCCTGTTCTGAGCAGGGCTGAAATAGAGGGGTTTATAGACATGATCAAATACAGGATCAGAGTGGATTTAGAACAAGAAACTTCACACACATGTTTTGATGAGCTCTGAGACTTATTTAAACTGAAGAAGAGGAGGAGGATATGTGACCTTTAAGTATGTCGGTCTGGTCTACATCCACCTGTCCTTATAGCGTGGTGAACAGACGAGCTGTAGTGTTTGTGTACAGTCAGCGTGAGTGTGACGGCCTGCAGAGAGAAACACTTCATGTGTCTGCTCTCTCTGCTTGTTTTGGCACACGTTGACCCGAGACGCTGCCAGAGGGGGAAGTTCACATCAGTCATGTTCAGGGTGTGAAGAGCATGTGATGGTTATTCCTGAACGCTTCCTGTCTCAGGAGGAGAGCAAGTCCTGGTCTAAACAGGTGATCTCTTCTGCAGCCCTGAGGGTTTCCATGACGGACAGTTTATTACCGAGCTGTTTGAGTCTGAATCAATGTGGGAGGGGCCACATCCCGCGTGCAGACAGTCTATGGTCGTGCAGCGATCACAGGGAATAAACAGCCCCTCCCACTGGCCCCTCCCACTGGCCCCTCCCACTGGCCCCAGGTGAATTCTCCTGATTATATCCTGCTGTGTTCTCACATCAGATCACTTTGACTTTCTGCAGAATAAATATGAGGAGGCTGGAGGAGAAACTCAGAGTGAAGAGAGAAACATTCAGATGTTTGTGTGATCACATGACGCTCAGTGTGAGAATATCAGGAGGTTTGTGTGAAGGTGTGAGATCAGTCAGTCGTCTTTGAGCTCCTTGAGTTCAGCTCTCTACACCGGCTCTTTTTTTGATGTGTTTCTTGTGACATAAACTGGGTGACTCAGATCGTTCAGTCACTGAGAGCTGACTGAAACATAAATACTCTCAAATGCGTCATAAGAGTTCCCTGGCTGTCCCGGTCTGGTGGTTCAGCGGGTAAACTGGGACACCTGATGGAGACTCACCTGAAACAAAAGCGACTTTCTCCTTCAGCACGGGGAGAACGTCGGACGCTTTGATGCCTTCAGGCCTCAACGACCCTGCAGAGAAAAAAACAGAGAGGAGGAGAGTTCAGTATTTATCCCATTATCAGATCAACATTCCTGTGAGGACACACACACACACACACACAGTTTTCATTAAAGTACACTCTTCTTCTTTGGTTTTTTAACAGTAACGTTACAGATGGTTTAATGAAGGAGTCCGAGCGGCAGGTGTCAGAGTGTTTTGAGTCGTGCGTGAACATTATGAGGAGAAATATTAATCTGATGTTGTTTTCACTCTCTTCATATTTTTCCATTTCCCTCCTCTGGTCTCTTTCTTTTCCTCTCAGTTCATCTGTTCATCCGTCTGTCATGTTATAAAATCTCTCTCTCTCTCTCTTTCAGTTTTAATAATGCTCTCTCTACCTCCTCCTCCTCCTCCTCCCTCTCTCTCTCTCTCTTGCCCTCTCTCTCAGTAGAAAACAAGCACAAATGTCCATGTCCTGCTGAGTGTGTGTGTGCATGTGATACTGTCCTGGCACTTTGACACACACACACACACACACACACACACACACACACACACACACACACACACACACACACACACACACACAAATTCCAAGAGCATTCCTCAGTAAGAATGCTAAGTCGGCAAAATCTATCTCCGGACACAGAAAGAGAAAAATGTGGAGAAAAAGCTGATCTGACTGAACCTCTTCTCTGATTGAACTCGATGTTCCACTTTCTGATTCCCTGACGTAACAACAAAGATGTTTCTTGTTCCTGGTTTGCACAAATGTTCAGGAAAAATAAGCTGAAAAATGTAAAACACAAATCCATCGGTTAGGCTTCTGTAAACGTTTGCTCAAAGCGAGACGACTTTATAACTCTCTTCTCTAAATGTGAGAATCATTACGTCCAAATGTTATTTTGTGTTTGTTGTTGTTGGTTTTTTGCAGTCCTTCAAGCGGGTGGCCCGGGTTTGAATCCGACCTGTGGTCCCTGATAGACTGTATTGCATGCCTGTAAATCTAGAGAGGGGGCGGGACTTCCTGCCAGGTTGCACAGCCTGTGACGGTGGAGCTGCTTTCCCCGTTGTCTGTTGTCACAAAGTTTCCTGATGATTTTTTGTTATTTTATTAAACTGACAGTAAGAGAGGGATGAGCCTCATGTGTAAGATTCACTCTGCCCTCTGAGCCAGCTGAAGGAGCAGTGGTGCCAGAGTTTGATTGACAGCAGCTTACAGGCTGCAGGGAACAAGACGCAGTGACAACAGAAGTGACCTTTGACCTTTCTGTCAGACAGCAAACAGCAGGAGGACCAAAACATGTCATGTGGTGGACACTGAAGCTTCAGTGTTTAGCTGATTTAATCATCTCTGGGCTGATTCCTTCAGTCAGTTACTTCCAGCATCATCACCAAACTACCCCCGACCTTTGACCCGAACCCAGAACCACGTCTGACCCCCCCCCCGAAATATAAAGGTTAACCTGTGAGGGCGACTTGAAATCCAGCTGGGAGAGTTGACCCCAAAATGTGTCTGCAGTGTGGGGGAGCGCTGATAGCCTAGCGGATATGTACAGAGGCTTAGGTCCTCCTCACAGAGGTGGTGGGTTCGAATTCGACCTCTGACCTTTGCTGCATGTCGCATGTTCATAAAGGCCCAAAAGATTACTGAAAAAAAGAGTCTGTTGTTAACTAATTTATGTCCTCACCCGCGCACACACACAAACACACACACACACACACACACACACACACACACACACACACACAACGTATATACAATCCATCAACTGCACGGTAGAGATAAGAAGCTAGATATCCTGGTCTGAATATTTTCATCTTTTATGTATTTTTTATGTCTGAAAATGTATTTTGTAATTCCTCCTGAATGTGTTCAGAGTCCAGAGGTGTGACATCATCATCCAGACAATCAAACACAGCGTCTCCTTCAGAAAGTCATGTGACTCGAGCGCTGAGGAGGTGAAAGAGTCTCTCCATCCTGCAGACGACGAGCTCCTCTCTGCTGAACGCCTCTCTCAGAGTCGTGCTGACGCTTCGACTCTTCAGTGTTTACGACTGAATCGTACTGATGTCGGGTTGTTGCAGAGCTCTTCATTATGTTATGTGTGTGTGTGTGTGTGTGTGTGTGTGTGTTATCTCCACTTTAGGACAGAAACTGCTAATGATAACAAACACTGAGGGAAAAGTGTCTGTACGTCAGATTGTATTCATGTCTCACTAATAAGACAATAAAACCATGAACAGGCTTTTTCCCACAGCAGAAGAAACTTTCAGCCCCGAGCGGTGAAGATCATTAATCATCGTCAGCCAGCAGTCACTCTGTTACACACACATCACAGTGAGAGAGGACACACGGTGAGGTTCTGCTCAGCTCATCAGAAACAACAATATAAAGATAATAATGATGATGATGCAAACAGCTGACACTCACTCATCACTTCCTCAGGCTTAGTGTCTGAGGGGACGCTTTCCAACCTCGACGATGAAACCGTCTCTCAAAGCGTTCACGTCTCACGCTGGGTTATTTTACGTTAGCTGAGATGCTTTTCTGTAAACTGTATGTGAGGTGAGTCTTTGAAAACAACAGTAAATAACCTCACAGGAAGTTTTAGATTTGATAGAAGAAGAAGAGTAACACGCAGGCGCTTAAATCAAAGGACTCAAAAAGAGGAATCTGTAATGTTTGACCCCTAATGTTTAAAATGGGTACTGCAGTCTAAATTCTAAACATCGTAGAGAGCTGTCTCCCCCCCTCCTCTCTAGAGTGGATGCTCACTCAGGTCACCATGTGGTGGACTCTGAAGCTTCAGTGTTTATCCAGCTCTGCATGGGTCTGTAAACCTTTCTGTGTTCTAACCTCTCTCCATTTTTCAAAAGCATCTCCAATATTGATCCTAGTTTGAGCACGTTTCTGCTCGTGGAGCTTACTAGAAACATGCAGAGGCTTTTTAGGTCGGGTACAATCACTTCTATCTGAACCACTTCTCTTGACCGCTTCCATCACTGCAACACCTGTTGACCTGATAACTGCTCTCATATCTGACAAACTGAGGGGTGTCCAAAACAGCCGTGTAGGGGGTCTTAAAAGCGCCTACCTTCTCTGGTCCAAACAAATCCAGAGCATTCAGGAGCAGAATCTAAAGTTAGAAGGAGGACATACTGGCTGCTGCATTGTTGTCAGAGAAGCCAGCACTTCAACATAGCATGTTTCCTTAATGATCAGAGAGTAAGATACCTTTATCATCTCACTCTCTACACAGCTCACTGACTGGACCTGTCATTTGAGCTCACATCACAGGAGTTTCTTTTCCAAGATGGATGAGTCATGTGTTACTAACGTCAGAGAGTTAATGGATCAAAGTAGATCCTCGGTGTCGGGATTCTAAACAAGTTCCACTTTTCCTCTGTGGAAAAAGATGAAGCTCTTATTTCTTATGCTGCCTACAAAGCTGTGAAGAGAGATCTCTCAGAGGCCTCTAATTATCCCAGATCTGTTGGAGTCTGTGAAAATCTAAAGTTTGTTAGAGGTCAGGAACACGAGGACACGATGAAGCTTGATGAATTATTGAGCGAGATACGTGTCGAGCAGAAGACGTGACAGAATGAGAAGCAGCAGGTGAATTCAGGTGACTGAGTCGTCTGATCACATTTGCATTTCAGAGGAGATGCATGCACCTGTTCCCCGATGATAAGAGGAAACTCTGCACTGGATCTGTTGCACTTCTAACTGCTGACGGTTGTAAAGCACGCAGACGTTGTTCTATCGAGATTAAAAGAGAAAGCATGCACGCCGCCTCTCCGCGCACGCATGTGTTACATGCAGTAACACATGCGTGCAACACACACACAGCAGTGTGTGTGTGTGTGTGTCTCTGTGTGTGTGTGTGTGTGTGTGTGTGTGTGTGTTTGAGGCTGACGTCATAGTAACCAACTGTAACATCTGCTAGCCATTGGTACGCTGATTGAAGAAGACTTCTGTGAACTCTCATCCGTCCTAACAAGAGTGAGACTCAGAGCGAGGGAGTCGAGCCAGGAGCAGCATTAGCATCACAAGCTAGCCCCAATCAGTCGGCCAATAGTTACAGGACATTAGCCCGGCGTCCTCTGTGCGACTGAAGGAACGTCAGCTCACTCTGTGCGACTGAAGGAACGTCAGCTCACTCTGTGCGACTGAAGGAACGTCAGCTCACTCTGTGCGACTGAAGGAACGTCAGCTCACTCTACGACTGAAGGAACGTCAGCTCACTCTGAACGACTGAAGGAACGTCAGCTCACTCTACGACTGAAGGAACGTCAGCTCACTCTGAACGACTGAAGGAACGTCAGCTCACTCTACGACTGAAGGAACGTCAGCTCACTCTGTGCGACTGAAGGAACGTCAGCTCACTCTACGACTGAAGGAACGTCAGCTCACTCTACGACTGAAGGAACGTCAGCTCACTCTACGACTGAAGGAACGTCAGCTCACTCTGTGCGACTGAAGGAACGTCAGCTCACTCTGAACGACTGAAGGAACGTCAGCTCACTCTACGACTGAAGGAACGTCAGCTCACTCTATGACTGAAGGAACGTCAGCTCACTCTGAACGACTGAAGGAACGTCAGCTCACTCTGTGTGACTGAAGGAACGTCAGCTCACTCTACGACTGAAGGAACGTCAGCTCACTCTACGACTGAAGGAACGTCAGCTCACTCTGTGTGACTGAAGGAACGTCAGCTCACTCTACGACTGAAGGAACGTCAGCTCACTCTACGACTGAAGGAACGTCAGCTCACTCTACGACTGAAGGAACGTCAGCTCACTCTGTGTGACTGAAGGAACGTCAGCTCACTCTACGACTGAAGGAACGTCAGCTCACTCTGTACGACTGAAGGAACGTCAGCTCACTCTGTACGACTGAAGGAACGTCAGCTCACTCTACGACTGAAGGAACGTCAGCTCACTCTGTGCGACTGAAGGAACGTCAGCTCACTCTACGACTGAAGGAACGTCAGCTCACTCTACGACTGAAGGAACGTCAGCTCACTCTGTGC